TGTATATATATAGAGAGAGATTCCCATATATTCATAGCATTGTTCCAACCAAGTTAAAATTATTTTTCAGAATAATAAAATATTAAGTTATTTGATCGAATTATTCATTTATTGTTTTTTTTAAACGTTTTACAAGATTAAATTCTGAGCCTTAGACAACTCGTGAAATTTTTGTTCTCAAATTTAGAAATCACAAACATAAATTCGTTATTATTTAATAGATCAGTATATCAATAATTAAAATGTAAAAATAACAAATATAAATTTGAATAAAACCAAAACCTATATATACACCGACAATATATATGTATAATATATATATATATATATATATGTATATATAGGGTATATTTCAAATACAATCATGTCTATTTGTACAACCAATGCAACTCAATTAATTGAGATATTTATGAAAATGATGATAGTTCATTTATTATGATTTTAATATTTATAGAAGATGAATATGGTTCATTAATTATGATCAATACTTTATATTAGAAAACAATCAAAACTTCTATGAAATCACATATTCATCAAATTAAATAGATGGTTAAAATTAAATTGTATTGATTATACAAATGTAAAAAATTATATAATAACCATCCTCTATACTTTATATTAGAAACTTCTAGTTGTTTTTACAAGAACCACTTAATTTTATATTGGATTGATCACGCTGCACGGCAAGGATAGGGGACGAAAGCGTCATTTACAGTACACCCATACCCCATTCGTCACTTTTCTGCGTGGGACCCATATCTATATCAAAACTTCACATTCAGCCCCTATATTTTCATAACGTTTCAGTTTGGCCATATTTACTTCATCTTATTTGTTCCCTATATTTAAGATATCCAAATAAAAGCCTTCCAAAGCATGTCTTTGTGTATCTTAACAATTCTTTTCCATTTAAAAATATGCATTTTTGGTGTTGTGAGGATTCAAATCAAAATAACAAAAATACTGAAAACATGAAAATACAAGAAAATAGATAAAATAAATATAATAACATGAATGTCTGGTAAAGTATTTTTTGTTACAAATTATGTAAGAGATGAAACACAATTTGTTAGTTGACAGCTAAGGAAATGCAATTTAAACGTAATTACGGATATAAAAAAAAATATATTATCAGTGAATTTTGTTTTTGAATTATGGTCCATATAAGAATATAAACATGACATATTAGTTTGATCAATGGAACTATATCAAAGAACAACATAAACACATGCAAATTGTTTTGAGGCATTTCATCACATATTTGGAATGTTTAACGATCACAATGATGGTTAGAACTTACAGATGAAGAAACCTTAAAGTAACTTCAACTTCAACTTCAACTTCAAAAGAAGGGTTGATCGAATGAGAAGATGAAGTTTGGTTGATGGGTATTGTACGTATGGATAAGTTCATGTATTTATAGATCGGTGATCAAAGAAATCATTGTCTTTGTCTTAAGGTTTTCGTCTGAATCTTTGGTTGACCCATGATTCTAGACAATGAAGAAGGTTGTCATCGAGGTTGTTTAAGCAGTATCAAAATGTGATTTTGCGTTCTTTCTCTATAGACCTAATACACAAACATCGGGATCAGTCTTCTTCAATCACAACCTAGAAAAACATATAAAAAAACCTAAATAAGAAATCGAAAAACTGCCATCATAAGTAAAATGAAGGGGTATAATATATATATTAATAGGAGAGAAGAAGATGAACAATTAAGAGTAAGGAAGTGAATGATTCGAAGTTATAGTTTGAAATTAAATATAAAACAGGTAGGAGAATATGGATAAACTTGACGGTAACTTTGGAATTCAACATTTATGTAAAATTACTAAAATACCCGACCCACAATGGAAGYTACATTCTTTATACAGGGTTAGAAGAGTCTTTAACATATTTAAAGATTTTATAAATCTCCATGTTCTCTGTCCTTTTCTTACAAAGGAAAGAGAGGCATTCTCRAGTCGTTTTTAGAAGGGAAATGAAAGAAAACAATGTTGATTTTCCTCTTAAAACTTTCCTTCCATACATGGAGGAAATGAAAGACTTAGAAAGATTTATAAAATACACATTTACACATAAAATTATAATTTGCTATATAATAAATATACATTCGTTTTGAAAAACATCAACTTTTTTCTTTATTTCCCTTCTTTCCTAAAAAAACGAATATATATATATATATATATATATTTCGTTGTTACTTCTTAAATTTGAGAATATAACATAAACTTTTTAAGGAGAGAGAGAGAATAGAAAGCAATGGAGCAAGAAAATCTGAAAGGAACATGTGATTTTATGGCAAAATACGGTTATATGAAAAAAGGAGAAAAAACAAATATAAATGGTATATTTGTGAAAACCCATTTCTTTTCTCGACATAAAAATGTTTATTCTCAATTTTTTTTCTTTMAAAAATACAAGGAAAATTCTTTATTACTTTTCCGTTTTTGTCACTTCCTTTTCTTTTTTCTTTCTAAATTCAAGAACAAAATGGAGCTGTTTATACCTTTGATATACTCTCTCAAGTTACGTACACATAAACCCATTCACCACTCGTAGTTTTATTCATCCACATTTACAATCACCATAACTTGGAGTATCTCCAACAGATCCTTTAAAATGARGATTTTGGAGAAYTTTATTCTAATAGAYTCTTTAAAACTTTCTTCCYTATKGAGAAAGTAGGAGAGAGATGGTGAAATTCTCCAAATTTTGAGACTCCCCAAAATTGGTTACTTAAAAAGAAAGAAATTATTTTTATTATCATTGCTATCAACAAGAAATCTTGAAATTAAATGTTTAGGAGTGAGAAATAGTATTTTAATAATATAATTAATATTGTAATCTCTAAAATCGAGAAGTAAATCTAATTTCTTTTAAAAATTTATTTTATTTTCCATTTCAAAGAATTTGATGGAGATGCTCTTAAGGTTTAAAATGTAATCAACTACTCATCAAAATAAAATCCAGTTCGATTAAAAAAAGGATTAAACTTAACTTAATTTATACGACCGATCTTCGAAAACACCACACTTAGGGGATTGTTTACCCAATCCCGGTAAGCATTCAACAGAGTACTAATCAATTGGAATGACATCGGATGCAATAATTTATCAACGGGTAAAATAATTAATGTGACAGGTGCTGAAGTGCGTTTACGGCTGTTAGTTGTAGAATCTAAAACCATATGTACTAAACTGAAATTCTTAAAACATAACAATTATATGCGAAAAAGAAAGCAATAAACAATTATTTCATTCATCCTTAAATTTCAAGGCAAAATAATTAACAAAAACCATGACAAAGCAAGAAGCATTATTACGAATGTCAGTGATTTGAGATTTATTATTATTTAAATWKAAATCACTAATAAATAGCGGACCGCCCTCCATGGGACCGGTTCATCCAATCAGTGTTGTGCCTCGATTGCCGAGCATAACACCGGACCAATCATCCTGACACCCCCATATCATCTCATCGGCTGATACGCAACCGCAAGGATCAAATTGATTACGTCTCGGGATCTTCCGAATCTGCCTGCCAATCCATCCCTTATACGAGGGAGGATTGAATCTTGAGAATCTATCTCGAATCTTAAAGATAGAGCTGGATCTTCGTTTCTCATTTCTATGCTGGCAGGTTCTGTAGATTTCTAGATTCTGTGCCCAAACTTTACTAATATTGGAGAACGTAATCAAGATTCTGTGTGATTACTGGGGGTTGATTTCGTCACCCAATTGTCAATCGTTGAGATTGGGTTGTTGATTTGATGGGTTATATGGTAGAGTCAGATCAGGGGGCTGCTGGCGGTGGAGGAAAGTCAGGGTTTAGAAGTTTGGTGAGGAGGAAAAGGGTTGATTCCGTTCATTCTAAGACATCAGACACAGGCCATCATCAATTGGCTAAGGAACTATCCATTGCTCATCTCATTTCTATAGGTAAACAAACAAAAACAGAGAATTCTACCATTTTATCATATAATTCTAGTTTGAATTTTCCTGATGTTTTGGTATTTATCCGATTTGATTGTTGTTTGATTGTATGTATACGTGTATGGTTTCTTATAGTAATCTTTGACTTCTGCATAAGGGTGGTGTTGTTTTCTTTCTAAAACGATCAGAGAACCACACCAAGGGGATGGAATTTTTGGGTTTGTCCATTGAGGCACTCTGTACGGTTATTCACTGGGCAAGACCAAGCATCCATATTCAAACTATTGACCTTTTGGTTCTGTTAGGGTGCGTTTAGTGCCCAGACAGGACTGGACAGGACGGGACAGCTGTTCAGTGTTTGGTAAGACAGGACAGGACAGAACTGGTTAAAATGACCAATTTACCCCCAGTGAGCTGTTTAGTGTTTTTTCACTACGAAATACATTCTGGTAACACTGGTCCTACTACCACTATAGCCCTGCCCTAATAAGTACTTCAATTAATTAAGTTTCATAACTAACTAAGTTTTTCATCAATTCCTATTTTATCTAGTTTCATAAGCTATATTTCACACATCATCTGTGCATACAAACCAAGAAAACAAGATTCAAATGGAAGATGCACATCAGAATCTATGATATACAAAAGGGTATTTTGCTGAGCTGAACAGGAGTGATGCTGATTAACAGAGATGGAAAAAAACGAAGAGAACTACTTTCAATTAACCAAGTCCCCAATACCATAACATACAAGAAACCCACTTGATGAAATACTCACCTCTCTCCGATAGTGTCGCTTGAATCCCACCTGGTCTTTTACTTGCCTACTCACAAACAATCAAGATCCAAATCAAAACCCATCCTTCAACGAATCAAAAAAACTCAAACTATATCATGAAATTTGAACATATCAAACCTGATTGAAGGGCTTGTGTGAAGATTGAGTGAACGAAAAAGGGGGAAAACCCAGAAATGTGTGACCGAACATGAGACCCAKATAGCAATCGAAGAGAAAATGGAGGTGTTTAAGTGGTGGTTGTTCAGCGGCGATGGAGGTGGCAGAGGTGAARCCAGTGAGTGCGTGAAAGGAGTCGAGAGGTACCGTCGATGAAATCAACAAAGTCGAGAGGTACCGTCGATGAAATCAACAAAGTCGAGAGGTACCGTCGATGAAATCAACAAAGTCGAGAGGTACCGTCGGTGAACACAGTCGAGAGGATGAAGGAAGCGATGGAGTCGAGAGGTACCGTCGATGAAGGAAGCGAACACAGTCGAGAGGTACCGTTGATGGAGTTGATGAAGGAAAGAGATGGAGGCGGATGACAAGGGGGATGGAACCAGAAGCGAGGTGATGAGTCGGGTAGGGGAAGAAGGGGTAATGAGGGAAAAAGTTTTGTGTTCCACTTAGTTCTAGGGGTAAGGGTGGAACAAGCTTGTCCCATGCTTGTCCAACTTAGTTCCACTTAGTTCCACATTTAGCCACACCAAACGCAGGACAAATGTGTTCTGTTCTGTCCTGTCCCACCCTGTCCAGCGTACCAAACGCACCCTTAGAATATAGCTTGTAGCCTTCTTTGATTGTGATTGTATATGATCATAGCATTGTTGCACTGTGGATAACTCATTTCAATAAACATGTACTTTTGTAAAAGGATTCAGTACTGGAAAATGGAGGACTACTTTTCTGGTTGTTAAATGATATGGATCTGTGTAAAAAGACCAAATGCAACACTTGAACACTTCAGAGAGAATAAAAGGTTGAAACTGGACACCCGATTTTAAAACTAATATTTAGTGGTTGACGTAGAACGTTCCTGTGGTAAAGTTTAACTTTGGAACATTGATTTGTTCTTAAAAGAACTGCAGTGATTTTGGGGTTATGAAATTATCAGGTGTTGGTTCAACGATCGGAGCAGGGGTTTACATTCTTGTGGGTACAGTTGCTCGAGAGCATTCTGGTCCTGTTCTTGCCTTTTCTTTCCTAATAGCAGGGATAGCAGCTGCTCTTTCTGCCTTTTGTTATGCTGAGCTTGCAAGTCGCTGCCCTTCAGCCGGAAGTGCCTATCATTATTCCTACATCTGTGTTGGAGAAGGGTAAGTTCTTACTTTGATAGTCTTGATACTCATATTGTAAAACTGTGGATGCTGATATTACCATTTGTAATTTTTTTCAGTCTTGCTTGGATTATAGGCTGGGCTTTGATTTTGGAATATACAATCGGAGGATCTGCAGTTGCTCGTGGCATTTCTCCTAATCTGGTGCATGCATTTTACATTATATGATTCTACCATTATTCATCTATGTTAACTTGGGCAGGGGATCATATATTCGCCATCCATACCTTTTCTGAAATGATCTATTCCTTTTTCTGTGTTACTCCCATAAAAAATCTTCACGGTCGATTTGTTTCTATGTTCTTTTATGAGATATACTGTAGGTGATCAAAACAAATCTCTATCTTTAGACATCAGTTCATCTAAGTACTTCACTAGTTATTGTTTATTCTATGGAAAATTAAGGCAACGATGCTAATTTCACCACTTGAATGCTATTCTAAAACCAAATATTTTGGTCTTCCTTCAGGCATTGCTTTTTGGAGGTCCAGATAGTCTGCCAGCATTTCTTGCACGACATTCTATTCCTGGTCTTGGTATTGTGGTCGACCCATGTGCAGCAATTTTGGTGTTTATTGTTACGGGGCTATTATGTGTGGGGATCAAGGAGGTAGTCATCATATTCATTTTTCTTTTTCCAAAAATTTCCTCCCTAAGTTGTCTTGGAACTATTCTTAAACTTGTTTGTTTTATGTCCTATGAATTATGAATTTGGCAGAGCACTTTCGTGCAATCGGTTGTCACGATAGCAAACATATGTGCCATGATATTTGTCATAATAGCCGGTGGATATCTAGGATTCAAGAGCGGATGGATTGGCTATGAACTTCCTGTTGGGTAATAAGCATTACCCTTGTACACTTGTGTGTTCATCAATGGCTTCAACTCTTATGTATCTTTTGTTGTGTGATAGGTACTTCCCTTTCGGAGTAGATGGGATGCTTGCTGGGGCTTCTACAGTCTTTTTCTCATACATAGGGTTTGATTCAGTTGCAAGTACAGCAGAAGAGGTACATAAATGTTTGACTGTTTATCAATAAATACAAATAAAGAAACCTTATGAACCAAAATCAACAGTGATCCAAAAAGGGGTCTTAACATGAATCTTTGTGTTTCAATTTTCACAAGATATCTAAGAAATTCGGGAATTCTACAGGTGAAAAATCCTCAAAGGGATTTGCCTTTGGGTATTGGGGCTGCTCTATCTATTTGCTGCACCTTATATATGTTGGTGTCTGTCGTCATTGTTGGTCTAGTACCCTATTACGCAATGGATCCTGACACCCCTATCTCTTCGGCATTTGCAAGCCATGGTATGCAATGGGCTGTGTAAGTATCTCTCTTCCATTTGTTTATTTTTTTTAGATTCTATAGCGTGCACAAGACGTATAGAATATATATGGATGTGGATGTTCTTTAAGGTTGAGGATAGGCCTACCTATGTGTACGTCCCACCCCCACACCATACTTTCAAGTGGGATATATTGGGTTTAATTGGTTTGATTACTTTAGATAAGAGATTATGGAATGATACTATTCGAATAGTTTCTTCTTCCTTATAGACCTGACCAACGAACTTGTATTACTTCGCAGGTATATTATAACTACCGGAGCTGTCACTGCTCTCTGCTCAACGCTAATGGGTTCACTTTTGCCTCAGGTAAAAACATCTTATCTGAAGCCTGATTCTGTTTTTGCATAGTTTTGTGCAATGTTTTCTTGGACTTACTGAGATTTTGTCTTGAAGCCACGAATCCTGATGGCAATGGCTAGAGATGGTTTGCTCCCACCATTCTTTTCAGAAGTAAATAAGAGCACCCAAGTTCCTGTCAAGAGCACAATTCTGACTGGTTTGATAGCTGCAACCTTGGCATTTACCATGGATGTCGAGCAGTTGGCAGGGATGGTATGTGATATCTTTTTTCTCAAGAGCCGATTTTATATGTACTTCTAATGTACTCCTTCCGTCCCAAAATAAACGTTCACAACAGAAAAGGCACATAGATTATGTAATTATTATGCTTCTTTATAAATGACTATTTTATCCTTAATAAGGTAGCAAGTAATGAAATTTTCCATCTAATAATTAAATAAGGAATTGGAAAGTAAGTACGTATATTTGCAAGTAGACAAGCTAAAATAGAAATATGGACAATTATTTTGGAACAGAGGGAGTAATACTCATCAGTAACAGGATAATTTTCTAAGTGGGGTTTAAGTTTAGTGTTTTAGTAATTCACATGAACAACAGAAACTTGTGTGGGTCGGTATATGTGCACACTCAGCTACAATAGTTGCTTCTTTGTGTTGCAGGTTAGTGTAGGTACACTTCTTGCATTCACTATGGTGGGAATTTCAGTGTTAATACTTCGGTATGTTCCACCAGATGAGGTCCCACTTCCATCTTCGCTTCAGGCAGCAATAGATTCGGTTTCTTTGCGTTATAGCAATAATATTCATACGGAAGAAACCGATGTTGAGACCAGCAAGGATCAAAGTGGTGTTTCTGGGGAGAAAAGTGAACTTTTACCGAGAAAAGGAGAGGCATCAAGTAAATATCCTCTAATTGCTAAAGTATCAGCTCAAGGTTTATAATCTAGATTCCTTAGCACTCATATACTTGATCTTCCATATAAAATTTTAAGGTTTCATGAAGTTTTTTGCATTTTGGCAGCCATTTTCAACGAAAACAGAAGAAGAAATGTTGCAGGGTGGACTATAATGCTTACTTGTGTGGGAGCATTTATTCTTACATATTCAGCCTCAAATCTTGGTCTTCCTAGGTTCGTAACTTGCTGTTTTCTATTAAGAATCTTAACCGAAAAATGCTAAGCCCCACTCACGAATGACCTTCTGACGAGTGCCTTATAAATTCATGACTTTCCGACAAGTTTCTAGGCATTCTTATGTATGGAAGTGACATTCTTCTGTTAAGCAGTGGTGGCATTCTCAAACTTGTCAGAAGGTCAGAGATTTAAAAGAACTTGTCAAAAGTACAGATTAAAAAAAAAACCAATCCACTCACAAGATTCAGTTTGGGGTAAAAATCCTAAATTGGAGACCATTAAAGTAGAAAACTTCCCATAATGCCACCTGTAATTTGTGATGATTTTATTGACTCTTTTGTTGTCGTTGCTTCTATGAGCAGTTTATTTCGGTTTACGCTTTGTGGAATTGGTGGTGTTATGTTATTATTCGGTCTAGTTGTGCTCAGTTGTATAGAGCAGGATGATGCCAGACACAACTTTGGGCATGCAGGCGGTAATATTTCTGTTTCTGCACATTTTCTTGTTGGATTTGATGTTACTCGGGTTTCTTTCCAGTTATTCATTGTTTTCTAGTTATAGTGGACTTTCTGTGGAAGGTCAAGCAGATTCTAAGACAAACTATTTATTGTGTTCAGGTTTCATATGCCCATTTGTTCCTCTCTTGCCTATCCTTTCGATTCTCATCAACATGTACTTGCTGCTAAATCTTGGGTGAGTATTTTTACATAGTATTTATCATTCCACTAAGGGGCTTTTTACTATCTGCTGACCGCCTCTTAACTGGGTAAGAGGTGCTTAGCCCCATGATAAGGGATACTGTTTACCAACACACTCTGACCCACAAATATGCTGACCCAGTAAGGAAGGGGTCGCTTTCTGATTCAATCAAGCTTACCTATATTAGACACATGGTAAACAACCATTTTTAATCAGTTAAACCGAACTTCTTACCTAGACTCCATTCTAATTTGTGTTGGTAAACAACCCCTAAGTCACTGTTGTCCACATATGACTTGTAGAAGTTAAATAGTTTCTGATATCTTGTGTGAAAAACGTAGGGTGGATACTTGGATGAGAGTATCCGTATGGCTTCTGATAGGAGTATTTGTGTACGTGATATATGGGCGGAACCACAGCTCACTACAACATGCAGTATATGTGCCTGCCGCTCATGTGGATGAAATTTACAAGAGCAGTGCAGAATCCTTGCCTTCTCAACAATAAAAAAACAAGATCAAATTCAGATTGTTTATGCATCAGTTACTTGTACTATTAAACTTTTTTGTATAATATAGATGTTAACTATGAAAGGGCATGTTAAATGTCATGTAAATATATATATTTATTGAGTTTTTACAACTCCAGAATGAAATGTACCATATGTTGCTTTCAGATATGTTCATATGTTGGTTTTTGTAGCATTCTTTGTTATCAAAGAAGAATCGCCACGTTTAAGTTTACAAGATCCTTCAATCTATATTTCATTTGCTGTGTACTAGATAACTAGAATTAAGTTGAATATAAGAAACCTGAGTTTTAGGATTTTACAAATTCACTTGCAAGTTGCGCCAAACCTTTGTGCCGTGCACAAGCGGTGGTTTCATAGATTGAATGATATCCAATTTCACAAATTTTGCTAACCACATAGAGCTTAGAATGATCAAATCCTACAATTTCCATAATTTCTTTTTGAAGAATTATAAGAAAAAAGAAACAATGTTTTCACTTCCTACATTGTTCTTATGCAAATCCTACATCACACAACGATAACTTATATGCGTTTCATGGATCTAGAAATGGGTTTAATCCCACTGCCGCCACCATGTACGGTGGCTGATAACAGTCAGCAATTTGGCCGTCATTGGCCTACGGAAACCCAACTAAACGACTTTCTAATCATCCACAAACAATAAATCGAGGCGAAAGCATCGAAAATACCTTAAATCGTCAATGGAAACTTCGATCTCTCGGACTTCCAAACATTGGCCGTCCTTACGCTGTTGTCTCTCCAGAATTTTCTTGAGTTTTGGCGTTTTCATCATATGTTCCGTTCTCTATTTCACCCCAAACAATTATATATATATACACACACACACATATTACTTTTTTGCTTTCTAAGAGACGATTTCATATGTATTTATTCCCATCAATAGAATAGATATCACATACCAATTACCATCCCTGCCAACTGCTCGACAGTCGACATCCATGAAAATGCCAAGGTTGCAGTGATCAACTCTTAATTCTTCTTTGTTATTGAACCCATTTTTCTGATAAACCTGGGAATGGGATCATTGTTTTAACGATTTCAGAATCTTCCATTAGGATATCCCAATCAGGAGATTTCACCATTTCACTTTCGTCTGCCTGATTTTGCCTCTAACACCCTCAGTTACACACATTCTGCACCATAATAACTTTTCACAAACCAGCGATCAGAAACCAAACTCAACTTGGAAACAAGACAACTGAGCTGAATGGGGCAAAACATTACCCCAAAGAAGAAACGTTAGAACGACCTAACAAACTATACTTACATAATCGAATCAACTGATAGAGAAGAACTCACGAATTTGACTGAAATAGCATTGGTGAAGATCTTACAATTTCCAGCACCTAGATGATTCCTGATCATATATTTCCCTTTTATGCTATCGGTCCTCATCTATGCAGAGTTAAGGGGGGCGTTTGATTGCTTATTTAAAACAATTATGCGTTTTTTTTAAGTTATCAATTTATTTGGTATTAAATCGGAGTTTTATAAAAGCTGTTTGGATTAACTTACGGTGGTATTAAAATGTAAAATAAATTAAAAAGTTATTTTTTAATGTATAATAAATTTTTCTTATACATATAAAATGATAAAAAAAAATAAAGTCTCGTCTCTTGTAATACAATGTTCACTATAGTCACTGATTATGCAAATTGCAAGAACCATACATTGACTACTATTATGCTTAAGAAATCCTAGTGTTTCTATACAAGAGCAAGCTTTGGCCCTTGTCGATTAAAGTTGGAATTGTCGATTTCATCATCTGTTATTTAAAAATACAAACTAACCATATCAAAAGTAACTTATCATTGAAAGCCAACCAAAAAGACACGTTGTTCTATGAGGAGGAAGGGAGGGAGGGAGGGAGGGAGGGAGGGAGAGAGAGAGAGAGGAAATCGGTTTTTGTGGAAGAAATCGATTTATGTAAATCACAACAAGGCATCGACCGGTTGTAGGAGAAATCAAAGTGACGAGAAGCTTACCTGAGGAACCGGTTCGATTTCTGGTAGGAGGAATGGTCGAAGGTCAATTTCTCTCTATTGATGAACTGGTTCGATTTCTAGTAGGAGTAGTCGAAGGTCGATTTATGGTAGGAGGAATGGTCGAAGGTCGATTTCTCACTGTTGATGAACTGGTTCATTTGTAGAAGGAATGGTGAAGGTCGATTTCTCTCCTGTGACAAACTGGTCCTTTTCATGAGGAATGAGGTTTATCTGTGAGAAGTTCAGTTTTAAGGGTAGAAAAGAGTAAAAATGTAATTTGGTTTTCAATGCTAATAAATTGTTTTTGATAATTCAGAAAAAAGTAACTTAACAAAAACTCTTATTATCGGTTTGCCAAACATTTTCTTTTTTCCACATCCAACCACTAAAAAATGCTTATTATTAGTATCACACCAAAATAAGTCAACAAACAGTTTAGATAAGTCCCAAACACCCCTTAATATCTTTATCCCTAAAACCTTATTTAAGCCGATTTTTAGTCCTTGTTAATCCATTAAATTCAATAAATTGGAATATATAAATTGGAATTTGTGGTGTATCATCATTTTTTAATTCCATTATTGTTTAGACAATACTGTAACAAATAGAATTACATGTGATACAATACTAAAAAAAAACACAGCAATTGTGAACATGACCAAGGTCGTGAGGAAACTTGCCCACACAATGTATGGGCAACATGACATGTACCACGTGATTTTACTAGAATCACACGTGATTTTAAGAGCCGTTTACTAAAAACTTACATTGCTAAGCGCTTACCAGTCCACTTAATTTATCGGATAAACATAACAAAGACAGACTCTTACCCGATAAGAGAAAAAAACCAAAAGTCTTACCCGGTAAGTGAGGATGATGATTCTGACTTGATAAACACTTACCAGGTTATAAATGTTCACAATTAATCCATTTTGACGATTGAAAATATTGTCCTGTAAGATAAATGAAAGTGATGACTCTTACTGGTAAGCGTTTCGTAAACAACTCCTTAGTTTTCACAATGTATAGAATGTTCCAAGGGTTGCACTTTTTAGTCCCAAATGGCAAATTCTGTTTTTTAATTGATAGCAGACTAGAATAGTATAATGGCAACTTCAATCTAATATTTCTTTTCCAAGAGAAAAGGGGATCAAAATGCTGATTGATTTGGTAGGAATACCAATTCCATTTCCATTTCCATTCCCTCTCAAACATAAATATGGATTGGTTCAAGTAGAAAGCAAAAGCCTGCCTTCTTAACAGAACAACAATTCAGACCCACACCTCCCAACCCAAAGCAATCTGGAGTTCAAACATACATCAATCAACTTCATACACCACCATGTTGCTTGCTTGCTTCACCCAAACGTCGCGATTAGGAAGCCTTTGTAAATGCTCATGAACTTGGCTACAAATGCTGCAAATCAACACAAAAAACAACCACCACCACCTTTCAGTGCCTTTATATGAAACACCATCCCCCTTTTTCCATTGAAGTTGCAACATTTACCATTCTGCCAACTTTTTATGTTAGAGTTACATATTCATCTTTTACAGATAAATTAAAGGTAAATAGAGGAAGAGCCAAACCAATTTATTTCAACTGTATGACTAGCCATATGTTACAATTTCAGTCCATGCACACCCCGAAAACAAGAGGTATGAAACACATACAATCCACTAACATGCAACAGGACTTAGAAAACTGGAATCCCAACCTAAGGCTACTATTCCATTTTATTATGTCACATTATCCTAAACAAAAACTACATATGCTAATATAAGAAATGTTAAAAGAGTACCCTGCAGTCGATAATTACCCCCTTCAGAAGGATAAAAGATAGAAGCTCGACTGATGCACAATTCAAGTATTCAACCTAACGCATATATGGTAAACAGCAACTGCTGTAAAATATTACGAAATGCGTAAAAGGTACCTTCAATGTGAAAAATGGCTTTCTGTCCAAGACGCATCCTATGTTCCTGGAAAGAAAAAGAAATAAACATTAGAGAATGATGAAGGCAAATCGGTGATTTCTGCATACAGTTAAACGAAGCAATTCAAGCGTCAGTTATCAAAAGTACCCTTCAATAATGACAAAACAGAGGAATTTCGTTGAGCCAATTCTGTACCATCAATAAATTTGTAACAATGATGAAGGCAAATAGGTAATTTAGCATAAAATCCTTCCAAGAAAAAAAATATTGCTAATTTCATGACATCCCAAGTGAGCAGTTTTTATGGGAGTATGGGACAGAAGGTATATTCTTCCAGAACTTGAAGCTAACTTAAGCCTCTCTCGTAATGCATACCCATTAATTCATAAAATCTTAAAAGATGTTTACACCAGCGCATCTACTGTTGCACATGCAGGGATTAAATATGCATTAACAACTTGTCCTCTATTATGTTATAATTTTACTTTTTAGAGTTTACTTTTAGGGCTTATTTTTTAACACCAATTTCATCACCACTTCCAGCACCAATTTTATCAGATATGTGCCATGGTATTGAAAAGAAAGAAAAAAGCAAAATGGTCTGGACTGAGCACCTAGACAAATGCACACATACTGACCCCTAGAGATGTGAAGGTCCTGTTCTCTAACTAGCTTCTTCCCCCTTTCTATCATTCTTCATAACACGCAGGTCATTTATCCAGCCTATCTAAATTTGGTCTTATTCGCTTTTGTAATTCACCAGTTCTATTTCGTGGGCCCCATGTACTTGATGGGAATAGAAAAGAAGATAGGACCTGCTAAATAGAGGATGGAGAAAATGGTATAAACAAATGAAATCTTGATTTTGCTTGTTTAAGAGGCATTCTTCAAGAGATACATAAAAATATCATCACTAAAAAGAATAACAGGCGTAAGAAAGATTCTTTGATGGGGCATTAGCATGAACTCACATAATATGCAGCCCAATGACAGACCTCATGCTTCAATTCAGAATCTAGTTTCTTCAGCAATTCATAAAGCAGCCTCTGAATCAGCAAAAACCTTCAACATCAACTACAACATTTCGTTTGATAAATAAAAAAAAGACTAGTTCTATATATAACCTTCAATATAACTTCAGGAGGGATGCAATTGACAAGTAGCTCGTACAACTTTCCTCGAACCTGGAACAACCTATATCAGTGAAGATTCATGATGGTAAGTAAAATGTAGAGGCCTGGTATGACAACATATATAAAACGTAACAAAATGTGACAAGAAAATGCAAGATGCAATATATATGTATGTATGTATGTACATATATGATACCTTTTAGGGCTCTGCTCTTTCATAATGTCAGACGCTATCTCGGATACATATTCTTCCCAGTCCATTGGGGGGATTACTTGATTATTGGTAAAGGGGTACCTAAGAGGTAAAATGGTTGCATAAGCATTGCTTTCAAGAACATCACAAGAAAGCACAAGATATCATGCAACGTTGATCTTAACTGTTGAACACGACAGGTTTCGAATGATAATATGGCCCGCCTTAAACTCCTGCCTGATTTTTCTGCTATGTGAGCAGCGAAACCAGGAGGAAGTTGTAACCCCTCCTTCTTGCCAATAAATTCCAGAACCTTAAGAATCTGAAAAACAAGCACAGTCATGTTAGGTGAACTGCAATTAACACAATAATTTTTAAGGGTTCTGACATGCATGATTCACTGTATGCATGTTTTTATGTTTATTACCTACCCTCAAGAATCCAATTAGGGTTAATTGCAAGATAGGCCTTCAATTTGCTAAAGCAAATCAAAACTGAGATATAGTTCCTATTATTGAATATTGATTAACATCCATGACTGGTTCTCATAACGAACTGAAATAGTCTTTAAATACGGTCTATAAACATTTCTTCAACTGCACCACAAAAGTTCCCTTGCCATCTGCTTTTCTAGATCTCTAGACTCACTAATGTTTCAAGTTGCAAGAAAATTAGATAGAAATATTAAATCTTCTCAGTTCTCTCTCCATTCTCAATCACCTCCACCGCAAACTCGCTACCTCGCATGCAGTTTAGACTTCAGAATTGATTTTCTGTCAGGAGAATCTTGATATTTGTAAGGTTCCGTAGTTCCCTAAAGAAGCTAACTGATGCATAAACTGTCATAAGACGTTTGGTGTTGAAGCTATTATTTGTTTACAACTTACAAATCCTTTGTCCACTGCAGCAAATCCTAGTTCCATCTAGTTTTCTAGGTCTCCACACTTACAAGGATGGTGCCCGATTGGTTTGAGTTTGGGCTCCAAAAGTCGAAAGTGCCTGGAGGTCCCAGGTTCGAATCCAAAGAGGAATAAAAATCCCCTTGTAGCCACAGAGGTTCAAATGCGGTGACTCCGGGCTACCCGCAAAGCGGGTAGTGGCCCTGGGATTAGTTGGTTCGCATAGCAGGTTGGATATCCAAGTTAATAAAAAAGGAATCTTATGTTTTCTCCAAATCCGAACACATTACTGCAAACTAAATATCATATTCCTCTATATTCAGACTTCGTTTGCTGCCCAAAGGATTTCTTGAGTGTTCGAGTTTATTAATGGCATGAAACAACCAAATTCTCATAATTTGGGGTTTTATGGCTCTAGAGTCGATATCTTAAGACTATTGCAGTTTTTCTTAGTAGATTACAGAACAACAAAACAAGCCACACCAATTACTGATTGGTAGTGATTTTCAAGCCTAAAGGACCTACAGCAGGAGGATGAGACATACACACACTTTATAGAGATATGAGTTCGATATGATGCAATTGCATACTCTAACCCTGAACATAGCAACTCCTATATAAAAATCAATCACGAGTCCCTATTTAAATTCAAATACTAAATGAAACTGGTCTTAATTTAGTGAGCTAACTACATCAGGAACTTTCACTTAAAGAAGCTACAACGCTAACCTGTTCCTCTTTTGGTGCATTTATTCGCACATTAAGGCAACGAGAACGCACTGCTTCAGTAACCTTTGACGAACTGTTGCAGCATAAAATCAAACGGCAGGAGGCACTGTATTTCTCCATCGTTCTCCGCAATGAGTGTTGTGCTTCTCTTGAAAGTTTATCAACTTCATTGAGCACTAAGACTGATACAGCATACATAAAACACCAAGAGCAAGTTATCAGACTACAAACAGATAAAGACAAGAAGCTAAATGCTCTACAACAACACTTTTACACTGTCAGTCTCTCCACAAGCAAGCTTCTACCAAACTTTTAACTCATCAAGCTCATAGAATTTAGATACACTGTCTGTTCCAAAAACAGACCTACATTTCAACATGTGAAATATGGCACTTCCCAGCAAAACCATTGTGAACTGTTTTGCAAAAGTTAGACCAACCTTATTCGATTTGTGGTACATAATTCATGTTTTAATGTAGTTAGTGATGTTTCTCAAAAAAATTAAGAATCAATATCGTTTTGAAGTCAATAACTGACTTGACATTCACAGTGAAAATCTAGCTCTTTCTGACTACTGGAATTAAGGGAGTAAGTAATAAAAAGAAGTTTGTGAGCATGGTTCTTGACGATATTATGTATTAATAAGCCAGAAGGCAATCTAGGAAAATCAATGGATGGATGCTTATGATTACAAGAAAAGCATTGCTAAGACGGATGTATCAATTTGTTTGCACATAAAATTCCTAGTGTGCATGTTGAAATAACCCTATTACAACATCATTATTAGTTCAAAGATAAAAGTTCATATCTTCTTTTATATCTGGTATAAAGTGATTGAACTACCAATTGGAATTTCTGTAAACCAACCTTTGAAACCCTTCTTTCCTTTGGTGTCAATTGGTCTGTTCTTCGCCATCTCTTTGATAATTTCTTGAACAATGTACCGATCTTGAAACCCGGCATCACTGGGATTCAGCTCGACATGGTGGGTGCTTGATAGAGTTGTGAGTTCCAAATCAATAGTTCTACTTCCAGCCTGCAAAAGGACCAAACTAAACTTTATAGGAACAAAAACTTACCTCAGTTATACAGAAAGTAGATGAACATGCATCACCCACTACATTGTATCAGAGGTCAAACCATACCCGTATTGTTTCATTTTACAGAACAATGCCAAGTAATATCTTCAAACATCTATGTCAAAATAAAGAACCATATGGTGTTCCAAGACATGTTCCTTTGCATAATAGGATAGGAAACCTAATTTAAACCTATTGAACAGAATCATAAAAAGGACAAACGAAAATTATCAAATCAAATTCCAATTAGACGAAGGAAAAAAAGCATAGCTTAGGAGAAGTGTTTGCCAATTGTTAAACCTCTTAACAACCATTCAATAATGACAAAATAGGAGCAATATTGTGAACCAAAATCAATATCATTACTTTGTAATGACTACACAAATGTAAGTTTCTCTTGCAGCTCTCAAGAAAAGAAGCTTTGCAATTAGTTTAAGACATGGCAAACATAAATTCTTACAAATGCGTTGGGACAGAGGAATTGCATTTCAATACTTGTCAAACCTAGTACTTCCTAGTATTCAGAACTAATATGAATTCTTTTTGTTTCAAAAAAAGTAATTCTTGTGTTATCAATATTTCCTATGTACGCTTGTGGTTACTGAATTTTCTCAGTAACTTGAAGGGATTAAAAACAGACCAAGTCCATGTATCAACAGACACAAGATTGTCATCAACAAACAAATCTTTGCTACATGCCCATATTTCAATCTTGTTATTTGCAGGTGTAAACATGCCTGGCATAGTCAGGTATAAAATAGATTCAAAAAGGAAACACTTACATCAACTTTCCAGTTTTTGTTCTCCACTTTCACCTGTAAATTGATCAAACATAGAAAGAGAGAAAAGGCATTTCCATCATCGAATTACGGCGGTAAAAATCCCAAGATAAAAGCGAAGGAATACGAATTCAAAAGACCTTCTCGGCCCCAGGTCCAAACATCTGCCTGAGAAGGGCCATAATTAGGGTTTTCTTCCCAGAACCCGGCGGCCCATAGAAAAGTAAATGTGGGCAATCTTGCTCCGTGACCTAATACATACATGATGAACATGAGAACATTGTCAACAAAAAAACCCTAGCATAGAAGGTAAAAATCGAAATTACAGAAAGACACAAAGGAAGTAGTAGAGAGTACCAATTTCTTGAGATTTTGAGCAACGTCTTCGTGTACAAGAACCTTGTCTAGGGTTTTTGGTCTGTACTTGTCTACCCAAAGCATCTTTCAAGATGGGGAGGAAGAGCGTGTGTGCGTGTGAAACTGAAGAACTGGCGGGAAACGATCGGAGCGAGCGAGCACAAAGGAATAAATAAGGGATGCTTTGTTTTGGAGCCATTTTAGTGGGCCCTGAAACGGCCCCACTTGAAAATAAAAAATAAAAATAAAAATTAAGGCAAAAAATAAGAATAAAATTAATGCATTTTACCAAATGCTTATCCGATAGGTAGTTACTTTAACGGACTAATATAACATGAATCGAGAATTTTATCCGGTAGGAGTGATGACAGATATTAAAAGCCTTATACGGTAAGTGATGGTAAAGGACCGAGGATTATTACTTAGTTAGTGTTTATTGGGTAAATTGTTGCATATGATGTCATCTTGGTAGACTAAAATTATACCAGCTAAACACTTACCAGGTAAGTATTTGGATAAACGGTCTCTTGGATTTCGTTCTATTTTTCATATGGTTTCAATTTTGCTTTGGGTTTGGTCACCGGATTTAACAATCATTAACTGTTTTGGTTAATTACCACTCATATGAGCATATTATGGTCATTTTAACCTTTTCTTTAAATGAATGTGTCTCATTTTATCATTTTAAGTTGTATGTGCATTGAATGCACAGAAAAAAATTCTTCCCCACGCTAACCTAGTAAGCCCGATCCAAGCCTATAGCAAAACCTTAAAGCTAGATCGTGTCACCTATTTTTCAAGGTACGGCTAAATCTCGACCTAAAGAGCCCGATTGAGCTTACTTTCACACCCAAAGTCCGCCTTGAAGCCTTATACATCTTTGTCTCTTAATTAAAAATCGAAAATCATGAAGGAAATAACTAGTTGAATAACGGGTCAACTTTCATACATTAGTTGAAATTAATAGCACAACTCCCAAATTATGATGCCGCTCCATTGTTTGCTTCGAGATTTCTTATATTTCTTGATCCTTATTTACAGAATCGTTACAATCATAGCAGAAATTTCGATATGAATCTTTAGCTATTAACATATAGAACGTGTCATAATTTGAAAGATGATTTATGATAAACATATCATAATTGTTAATCAATTAAATATACACTTCCTTTTGAACCATCGGATCTTGCATGGGTGCTTAAAACGACACGATTCATGAAAAAACTTCTACCGTCTCTCCTTTTTTGCATTTTTAACAAATAATTTAGGGATTCTATTTTTAACAAAAGCAAAGCTCCAAAATCTCTATTTCTTCACTTTAAATATTTTATTGGAGTATTCGATATCAAGGGTAAGTCCCAAGACACCACCGTTTACATATGACATCTTGAATTCATCAATGGAGCCGGATGCAAGCGAGTTTGATGAGGTTTGAACCTCCGACCTCCTAGGAGGCTGGCAGTAACCTGAATACCATCCTGCCAGAACTTCCACTTCCCAAGTTTTCAGTGTAAATGAACGACAACATACCCAAAAGGAGTATCGACCTAATAAAAAGCAACAATTGCAATGAAATGCTGCACACTCATGTATCAATTTGATTGAATGCAATATGAAACACCCTCAAATCATTACTGTTTCTGAAAAATGAAACCAAAAACTTGGTTCTATAACACATAACCAAGACCAATTAACTGGTGGGACTAAACTTACGTTAGAGTCACGGAAAACTGCAGTAGCATTTAACTAACCGTAATTTATCCTCATCTGGCAATGCAGCATCAGCTGGTGTATAACTACAGTTTTCAAGGGTCCTCCCAGAACAATAACAAATGGATTCATTACCTTGTAGAATGAGACCTGTGGATGTTCTTGTTACTGCTTGTGCTCATGGACATCAAGGTTCTGAGTTAGTATTTGCAGTTCCACCATAACAGTTTACAATTATACAAATCTTGTGTGGCTGATTCCAACTGATGCTGAGATCCAAATTGCAACTCCTGCCAAGAAGACCAACGCCCTTTAATCGATCAAATTTTTGATTTTTTGATGATGTGTAATAAGAACTATACGTGCATAAAAACTGCAGTACTTCTATTTCTGGAAAGTTCTTATGTCACAGTTGCCTAAAACTATGTAGCTAATCAAATATGGTAGTTCATAGGTCCAGTTGGTACCAACTCTAATCTAAATAGAGCTGCCCACATACATCTTACATCTGCGGTCAACCATACAAATTTAGGGTGCAACAGTGATGCCGGTTTTGTCTAGATTTAGGGAATACATTACAAGAGAATTGAATGCACAATGAGGTTTAATAAAATTAAAATAAAACCCTAATTAAAAAGATTGAGCTGTTCGACTGTAAAAGTCAAAAATTTCTAAGTTCGGTACCTGCAATACAAAATAATCTCCACACCTTCCTTTTGTTACTTTTGATCTTCCATCAAATTATTTCTTTTACATACAGATGTACATGTCAACTTCAACTTAAGTGGACGAACTAGAGGTGCAGGCGTTTGAAATGAGGCAGTTCATGAGAATTCACGAGTTGGCTTGTCAAAAAGCTTAGCAAACCTGAGCCTGTTGAGTACAGCTTGGAGTCAACAGCCTGGCAGGCTTAAATCAGCCAAGCTATACAAGCTTATTGAGCCACTCGGTGTAATTTACATTTTTGTAATTAATTGAAAATTTTAATAAAAATTGATGACTCGTACCTCATCATTTTAGAGCAGGTCATCATCCACCATAGCTTTCATGTCAAAAACAGATCAAATTACTCTTTGACCCAAAACTATCGTGTGTTCCTTTTATCCAACTTGAGCCTCTCCATTAACTAATGAGCTTCCGCTGTCATTGGATGCAACTGTATCAGATTTGCTGCTGCTTGTTTTTGGCTCATTTTTGCGGGAGCCAACATATCTCTTGGTAAACGTAGTTTCAGGGATTTTATCCTTGCGTTGTCCCAAAGTCGCTTCTGCTACATCACCCTTTGGAATGCTTGAACTTTGTCTAACTTTACCTCTGTCTGTATATTTTTGTGGGGTTCCGCTGTCCTTTATAACTCCAGCTGTACTCTGATTTTCATCAGGTTTATCTGTACTTTGATCTGGAAGCAGTGCTTTTCGGCTTAGACGAAGTTGCCCTTTTTCATTGACCTGTAAATTACAATTAAGACAATATGAATAATGTTCCAAGAAACACACAATCTGAATGTAACCTCGTCTAAAAAGATAACGAGTGCCGTGTTTACTGAACTACTTCCTCCAGGCCATTGAAAAAGAAAACCTTACCATTAATGAAAAGTTTTCTCGTTAAATTTACCTATATTCCGATCATCATCTTGCAAGTGCTTCAATGTCATTGATTTGGGTCCATACTTTCTCTAGATTTTCTCTATAAAGGCGTATTTTAGATATTTGATTTTCTCTATGTGCCAAGTGAACATGTTTCAATATTGAAGGACCAATGAAGTACTATATTTCCTACTTGTAAGATAAGCTTCATTTCATCAATGATGAATTAAGCCATATAAATGATGCCTAGTGTTAGACACAAATGAACACTTCAAAGGGTGTATGACTCGTCCCAAAACGCTCTCCTATTGTCACGGACTTGACTCTACAAGCTCGCATGCACCATTTAGTACTCGTACCAAGTCAACCAAACTCAGGAACAAGAAGACACATGATCGAGAGAGAGAGAGAGAGAGTGGCGAGGAACTCTACTCTTCTAACACTCTTAGGTGCTGTTTGGTTGGAACTTGGAAAATTCAAAGAAATTGGAATATGATTAATTCCTTTGACCAAATTCCAATTCCTATGTTTGCTTCACATATTGAAGTGGATGGAATCCTTTGAATTCCACAAATTAACAAATTGATCATTTCTTAGCATAAGTGAAGGAATTGAATTCCATCACCGCCCATCCCTTGCCCCCACCACAACCATGCTACTATTGTTACCTCACACCCCACCCCTAAACCCCCCCCACCAGACCACTATTGTTATAATAACATCCGCCACCCACCCACCCCAACGCACCAATGACCATCATGCCACTACTACTGTTATCACACCCACCTACACCACCCCTCATCACCCACCCCACATCCCTACTACAACTACGCTACTGCTGTCACTCCCTCCCCTAGCTAACCCCCCACCACCAAACCACTATTGTCATCGTCACAACCGCCCCAACCCCTAACCCACCACTATGTCACTACTTTCGTCATCACACCCACCCACCTCACTTACACCCTCGCCCACCACCCCACCTCCGCCCTGTCCACCCCACCACCACTCACTCC